TCATGTTTTTTTGTTTAAAACTGAATCACCTAGGTATTTTTGTGTGAGATAACCATATGTTTACTTCAAAATATTTTTGAGTGCACTTCATATTAGGAATACATTTTCATAGGATTGTTATCCCTACATGGAAGCAATAGAATTTTAAGATATATATGTATGTATATATAAATACAAATACAAACACGCACATCCACATGTACACATCCACATCGACAGAGACACTGACAGACATTTGCCTTAACTCAGAGTACACGAAGCTGGTTCATACATATCAATGGATATCCAAATGCACGCATATCTACACTATATATTTACATATATATATATATATGTATACACCTTCACATACACGTAGTCAAAGTTTTACCTTTTTCATTTCCTGTGTTAACTGACATCTGTCACCGATATCCACTTGCCATCGCTTAGACGCTATTCCATGACAGCAGTCGTCTTCCGATTTTCCTTGAACTCATCAGCGATTACTTGAAATCGCTCAAGAAACAACACATATTTAATGATGTGCGTGCTGTTTTTTGTCTGGTTATAGTCATCTTTAAAGTTCTCAAGAAAAACTCATTGCAGAGGGCACGAAGAGAAATTGATTTGACTGAGAGACGGTGAGCGCTAATCTATGGATATAGGGTAAGCATCGTTCTAAATACAATCTAGAGTCTACATTAATTTAAAATTTTGCTTGAGCTTCCAGGTTTTTGGAAGCCAGGTCATTCAAGTGCTGAGACAATTTTTTTATTTGCTTGATGGTGCTTAAATTCTGATTTCTTTCGAAACGAATTCTGGAATATTTTTTCGAAATACAAGCCTATCTTTCTTGCCAATAGTCGTCTAAAACATCATCGAAGTGTAAGTAGTTCGAAGATTTCCTGTAGCAAACCCAGTACCTTTCATGTTTACAACCCTGTCAGTTTCCAAAAGACTTTTGGCTTTTTTGAATATATTTTTTTGAACTTTTGCAGCTCTCATATTTATCTCATGTCTTCTCATTCATCTCTTTTTACATTTTTTGCTTTCCCCTTTAAATAAGCAGCGGACAGAAAGTAGAGTCACCGGATTCCCATGTTGCGACGTAGTGGCGACAAAAACTACGCAACTCACTCGTTTTATATGAGGAATTCTGTCATACTATTTCATAGCGGTGCTATAGTCTTCAATAGTCGATAACCCCTTTTCATCGGTTTTTAAAAAAGTTTAGGCTTGTTCAAATATTTATAGAATAAAATAGTTTATGACGATCACCTGCCACCTATGTCACCTGTAGTCTCGTTAATGATCGACTAACTCGAGAGAGCGGCACCAGTAAGCCTCATTCGTCCGCGTCTAACACAACAGTCGTTGATTAAGCTCCACTTGTTCAAAAGACTCGCACACCTTCACACTTCCGGTATGATTTCCTTCTTTTTCTTCACCATTTTATTTAGCGAGAAGATAACAGTGGGTAGCTAGCAGAGTTTTTCCGTGCCGTACGTTTACTCTTTGCTGAATTTCCGAGTGGAGAGCACTTGATGGTTTCGGTAAGGAAGAAATGAACTCAGCTCTGAATGAAGGAGCTCCTTCGTGCCATGAAGAGACGTTAAACTACTGTGCAGATGTGGTCGCTGTGCAGCTCGATCAGCTCTGGTGTCCAGTATTTCATATCGGTAATTTTTCATATCATTAAGATTTACTGAAACAAAAATTAGGTAAACGCGACATTATGCCATCAATGACAAGCTTAAATGGAAGTTGATCCCAGAATTTGAAACCTACATTAGCATAAACATAATTGTTATTAATTATTTTTTTTCAGCTGATCGATTTTAATGACTGTGATACTTAGGACAAGCTTTCACACTGTCAGTTTTGAATCAGCAACCTATTAGGATCATGTTTTAATTAGTACCTTTTGAAAAAAGTGTAAGCCAGCGATAGGAGCTCCTCTAAAAATGGTTCGCTATATGACTCGCTTCTTACACTTTTCGATGGTTTTTTAATTTCATTCAAACCTTAAATGAAAATGTGTAAATCAATGTAAATTGCTTGTTTGAATCTGATATACAACAATATAAAGCATTTACTGGTGAACACTTTTTCTGGAATACTTTTTTTCTCCAACTATGAAGCATTTTCATTGGCTGGTGTATGTAGTTAATAGTTTCTTCCTGTTTGCAACTACCGACTACGAATTATCATTACTGGTCCATGAATCCATTTCGAATTCTTTCTCAGAGATCATTTCATTTCTCAACGAAATTTTCTCATCAATCAATACAAATGCTGAAACGGAAGCCGTTGCTTACATTCGACAGCATGAAATTATTAAGCTGACAGAGATTGAACACAGAACGCGTATGGAATGTTATTCTGGTGTGTGATATGATGGTCGTCGAGCGTTAATTTTACGTTCTCTATGTTCATTATCCAGGATTATGGGTGCGTACTCAGACGTGGATCGGTGGCGGTTAGAGGGATGGTTGAGGAGTCGGGTAGATGGGAGGGAGGGTGAGTGGTTGGATGGATGGATGGATGGTGTATTGGTGGACAAGCAACCAGCCATCCCACCCAGCCAGCTAGCCTGGCCAGCCAGTAGGCCCATCGGCGTGGATGGTACGGCAAGATCTCGATCGCGGCTAACAGCTGAACAGTTGCCGACACGCCTGTCATCTTTTGCTTGGCGGATCCAAAAATCCCCGGAACGCGATGCGTGTTATCATCAATTCAAGAGACATTAGAACAGACCTCTAGATTCCACTTCAGCCAGCCCCAACTAATTAATCTTATCAGTTCTTTTGCGCATAAAAAAAGAACTGTTCACTGGACATTATCACCACAACTGCTATCTGTTCGTGTACATCGTCTTACACTATATCTATTCATATCGTCCTATTTCTTCTGTTTTTCCCCAGTTCATTTTTCGTCTCACAAAACATTCACCAGCTGTTAAAAGTGTCATTGTCACAGTACTGATGAAATAACCGACGAATCTGAGTTTTCGTTTTCTCATCTTTTTCCTTTTTGTCTTCGACTAAATGATGGTTTTGCAGAAGGATGATGATGACGAGTGCTTATGGATTTCTAGTTATGGTTTTTTTTTTCGTATACCCTTTGAAGATGATATCATTTCCAAACGGCAATGGATTACACTTTATCGCTTACAATGCTCTTAATTATTAATGTACTTGATTCTTCCATAACGTGTTCGATTATTACAACTAACTCATTCCTCACTGTCATTCAGTTTTTATGCGTCGAGTATCAAACAACTATTCTTATACTGCCTTTTTATTTCTAAACATCTCAGTCACTGTCAATTTCATCGGTCAAAACTTTTTTGGAGACAGTAAAATAATTTGCACAATCGTATACTTCTAACAAACTATTTAGAGTTATGTAAATAGAATGACTGTAGTGTCAGCGAATGAACAGAGGGGCTTTCAATTCATCAAGCAATGACTTAACCACCAGTCATTCGATCGATCGATAACGATCAGTTAACCAATCAAACTTCACTTCTATTCATTAGTGGTCGTATAGGGTTTTCTATATGTCGATGGTCTGTTAAGTGTTGGTCTGCCGTAATCGTTTACAGATGTTCTCATACATTATACTTTCATCACATCACGTCCGCACTTCTCATTGTCGAATGCCTTCCTCAATTCTTTCCCGACTCCAAAACGTACAATTCAATCTGTTTAAATCAGGTGCAACGATTTTATTCCATTTCAGATTTACTAGTTCATAGTGTGTCGCCGTCTATTGCTATGCAATGATTTCGGTATTGCCGTTGCTCCTATCCGTTATAACTACAACAATGGCTGGTTTTCGTGAAATGCCATCAAATCAGTCGGTTCTACTCGGAGAGGATGTTACATTTCGTTGTGCAGCTGACAAATCATCATCAAGTTCAGAATTGTAAGACAATATCTTCAGAGCAATATTACAGTTTAACACCATTGTAAGGAGTCATGTGTAGCGCAGTGGTTAGAAGTGCCCTGCAAAACACACATGATCGCTCACTCCTTCCCATACCTCGGGCCCATCAAACTTGCCAATCCTTCGGAGTTGGCATATTGGTATCAAACTTGTCTGTGAGTTAGGAACCGCTTGCTTAATAGACTCGTAGGCTCCCTCAAGGCATTGCGTGGGCAAGATATGCATCTATCCCTTCCGATACTGCTTATAGAGTCGAATGCACGACATATCCGAGATAGAGCAAGGCGAAACCCTTTAGCCTTTATTCTCCTTATTTCCAGGATTACATCCACTTTACGAAAAGAAATATTTTTTATGTTACTTCAGGTATAGTCAGTGGCGAAGCAACACTGGATCACTTCTTGGATTTCATGAGGTCGGACAATTGACTGGTCATCAAGGCAGATACAGTTACCTGAAAGTATGGTTGTGTCAACAATTCTTTATCTTACAATTTTAACTTATTATTTTCTGCCTACTCTTTTTTATGGCAGGATACACGGCGAAATATAACTTTAATGATGCTGAGATATTTGCAAAACTCCGGACCGCAGGTGTCTCCGGTGGGGAACGAACGCGCTGTTGTCATTTCCGGCGAGTAACGCGTTCACCACTACACCATGCGGGTCTTTCGTTTCGCCTGTCTCTCAGCTAGTTCTATCGATCTTTGCCACAGCAATCATCCGTCAGCGAGATTGATCTGCGGGGTCCATGTCGGCAGCGAACCCAGTTAAATAGCTCTTCATCTTAGAGTTTTACTACAGCTGTATTATTGCTGATCCTTTGTAAACATCTAAAACTCTTTACTGCTTAACCAAGAGCAGAAACCTATCCTTTTATAAACAGCTGCTTATTAGGCATAGTTTGTTAATTTTAATTACCCCAGTTATATTTCTTTTCATCGATTGTAGATCAAAAGTTTTAAGCTGTCATTTATTGGGTAGAAGTTTTCATTTCTAGTCCAAACGATTTTGTACAATTGTATTCGACACGACAGTAGGTAATAAAACAGTAAATTTGTGTATATTTGAATGGACAAGGTTCTTCTTTCCGTCTCAGTTTTTTTGCTTTCCTGATTTTTCCTTGATTATTAACAAAAAAAAACAGTAATTTAGTCATCTCGCGAAGAATTACATCTTCGAATCGAACGTGTCACTTTGGAAGATGATGGGCAATTTGAGTGTCAAATGCTTAGACCGGACGAGGGTCCTATACGAGCTGCGGCGTACCTAAACGTTATCGGTAGTTATCAATAAACTTACTCTGTCGATTTTTTTCTTGCTGAAATTTTAATTTCACTCAACCAAAACCTTCTAATTGTTCTCGGTTTTGCTAGCGATCGTTTTCAGTTGCTCCAAAAATGGTGCATTTTACAAACTATCAGTCGGGTACAATGATTGAAGTAAACGAGGACATTCCACTTAATGTAACATGCGCCGCACCGAACTCAAAGCCGGAAGCTATTATCATATGGTGTGTGATTTGTGGGACACAAAAACCACGACGGATTCTATTTGAATAGATGTTTAGGTATGTTAATGGTCAAAAGATAGAGGATGGTATTCAGCGTTGGAGTTCATATAATCTGAATAAAACAGTTTCCAGCTTTGCTGCTCTACAATGGCGACCAAGGTGACAGTTGCTTTTATTAGAGTAGTATTTTTAATTTTGGTTTTTTTAGCGCTAAAGCGCCAGGTATTTCGAATAACTATTCCATTCATGTAAGATAAGTTCTTGGCTCTTCAGATGTTTTTTTTTCCTGTTATTTCGTTTTATTGCAATGTTGTCCTGCTTCCATCAGTTCACTTAGAACATTTAACATTAACCCAGTTTAAAAGTATGCATAAAAAATGATGCAGCTGAAGAATAATTTTAGGCGCAATGATCATAAAAAAGTGCTAACGTGTGAAGCGAATCACGATGACAGTTCAACACAAATTCGGACCAATCTCACGATAAATGTGCTATGTGAGTTTTCTTGAGTGGTTTCTTCTCGTCTCGATTTTCAAGAAAGATACAGTCTTCCCTCTTGATCTTCCATCCCGTTATCCACTTCGTCTATACCTTCGTCTTTCCATTCTTCCGCTTTTTCCACATCTTCACTACCGTGTTGTCGCGAAACATGATGATGTATTCGGCGTAGTTCGTCGAACAACTATCACAACATGTTGCGAATTGTCGCGAATGCATTCTTCATTTGTGACGATGTCGTCTGCGGTTTCCGTCATCATTCGTGGGCAGCGTGAAATGTCTGCAAAATGACTTACGCATGCAGATTTACGCTATTCATCAACGCGTTTTCGCTTTAGAAACGCCGCTATTTGATATAGGGGGCTCAACAACGCGATTGGGGCCGATTGGGCGACAACTGGCGTCGACCAGATGGCCAATGGATACCTGCGCACTTTACTACTCCACTGAGAATACACACATCAACACATCATGGGATTTAGTGCCCCACAACAGAAAAGCCACGCGTAAGCCACTAACGCCTAGAATCAGATCCGATGCCATTACGTGCAAACTGTTAGAAAGAAAAAAAAAACAAAAAAAGAACTAACAATGGTGACCATACAACGTTTAAATCACTACAGAAATCTGAAACTATATCCGTAGATCGTTTAAGCCTAAAGTTTTCTCGAAATTTTGTCTGAGACTTTTTGCTCCATAAAAACAGTTCCAATGGAGTAGTTCTTAGTGAGATCCAGAGATATCTCATTGGTTTCTGCTCTGATAGATTTAACTCGATGTAGTAGCCGTATTGATGAGCACGTGTGCAATTTAATAGTGGGACTAGGCACTCGCATGCAAATATGTGCTGTAACAATCTGAAGTTGTATGGGAATAATTTAGGAACGCGTCTCAGAAAACAGAACTATATGTATTTGTAATCACTGCACACATTTTCTTAGATCGTATTGGAATCAAAGGCAAATCGCACTATGCTATTAGGATTTGTAGGTCATATTTTCCTTATATACTTTTGTTCTAGATCCACCTGATCGGCCGAGGATTTTAATGTTGAGTGGAGATTCGTTTGTTCGGGCTGGAGACAATGTTACATTTGTATGTGTGGTAACCGGTGGTAATCCTCCACCGGATCTTTCGTGGTACTTAAAGGGTCGCCTGCTTAGCGCACGGTATCAATACAACATCCAGACACAGGTAAACATTGAATTGAAATCTCAACAAAATAGAACACACTTCATCTAATGATATCATAATTGCGAGTTCTTCCAAGTGGTCGGCTGGTTGTGGGGTATCCATGGAAAGTAGAAATGTCCTACTTCATGTACACATAACTCATTAAATAACTATTTCGTTAGATAGCACGGCATTCTGATATCGATGCGTCGTAGAAGTCTCAACCCATGAAAAAAATCTTAACACAATTAGATGAAAACTCTTATAGAGGTTTTTGGGGTCTTACCTTTTGCGGTACACGATAAAGGACAAAGCTCTAAGCCTTCATCAATCTCTGAGTGATGCGACATGCATTCGAGTTCATCAAGCACCTCAAGCATCGTTAGAGACGATCAGTGATTGAATGCATATCCGTCCTATACAAAGACTCGCCATGGCCTGCCGATGTATCGAGTCACTGATACTGTTTTACCGTACAGGTCTGGCATCAATTTGCTGACCTCAGAAAGATGGGAGACTCGGTGAACCAGATTCGCATCATCAAACCTATGTGTGTTGAAGGGCACCTCTGATCACTGCGCTACCATACCATTCCATGGTAACTAGATAAAAACCCCAAAAACCAGTGCATGCGGCCTTTGAGGAGTCTTTTTTATCAAAATTCTGTGATGATTCTAAATTCTGGTTGAATCTATCATTTCCTCACTTCGGTGTGAAACCAGTCGAGTTCAATACCTCCATAACACGCGTACAAAAATCATCACTACATGCGGTAATCAAAATTATAGTGCTTGTAATAAAAATGATTAGCATATAACTGATTGTTAGTGTTGACATGTTTGCCATATTGTGGTGATTAAATTGGTAACTATATAGATACTTCCGGTTTACCGCCTCATCGTGGCTGCGAGGTATTCCTGGGTGTCGGGCTGCGATGTGCAGCGGGGCGATTCATCCCCACGGCAGAGTCTCCCTAGCTCAGAAGGAGCCAAACGTTTCGATCAGGAAGTCTATCTAAGAGTAAACTAATACCAGTATTTACCACCTTACTGGTATCGCATGATGGCAAATCTCCCTCTGATCCACAAGGGCTGCGACTGCCTGTGGTGGTGACCAGCTGGGGTACACTTTGGCCAGACTGGCCTCGGAATTCCAGCTAACCACAATGGCTAACCAGAAAATTTCCGAGAAGTGGGGGTTGTGCTGGGACCCGCACAATCAGTAAGGATGGCGCATTAAAGTACCAAATGAGTACTATATAGATAAATACGCCACTCTTAGAACACATCTGCTATGATTGTTGTTCGCTAAATGTGCGTATTGGCAATATTGGCAGTATCGGCGACCTCATTTCTCCTCGATGCAGTCTCGTTACACTATTCGCACCTGCTTACTTGCCAATCATGTTGCTTTCTATCCTCATTATTGAACCCTTCGAGGTCAACACGATACACGAAAACAAAAAAAGAGAGAAAAATACCTTTCCACGTGCATTATCGAACGACATTCACTAATTTGTCAAGATGATACTGATGGAGATTCAATGCTACGTTTTAATAAACGACGAAGAATGTCTGTGAGTATTTATTGAGAAAAAACGGCAACGTTCTACGTGGTAACTGCTTTTTTGAACTTTACGAGACTTCTGGTCGGTAAAAGTGCTGGATGACAACAAATCGACTCCCGCAATTTCGTCTTCACCTCATAAAACCACTGGCTGTTTACTTAGAGAAGAACTTAGATACAACTTATTCAATTGTCGATGCTGTCTTAAAATTTCGTTTAACAACATGATAGAATCATGGTGGAGTTTATATGACTTTTTGCTGTCTCAATAGCTCTTGGCAAATTGATTTCTTGGATGACAGTCTTTCTAGATCTTCATATGGGTCTCGTTCTATTCGTTGAACCGTTATCCGCAATCGCATTAATGATCGGATTTTCGATCGTACCGAAAGGATCGCTCATTTTCTGAGGTGAAGTGGGCCTCTGGAGAATTGCACCAGGAGATATGACAGATGGCGCATGGGGTGTCTTTGAGCAGAGCGCCACACTAAAGTGATTTTTCTGACCGCTCACGTTTAAAGATTTAATACAACTTTTAACACGAGCCGATTCAATCATCGGACAGTATGTTTCGGAAGTGAATTTCAGTTGATTTTTGGATTGTCTCAGACTCCTGTACAGCTTAACAGGTATCCGGACGGAAAAACCGTGAACTTTTTTAAACTCACTTACACAGAGTGGTTTAAATCTGACCAGAATCAATTTTTTTATTGCCCACCCTTCCTATTGCAAGCAGATCAGGTTTAAAATATAACGAGTTGCTTTTCTTTATGTTGAATTTAAAATCCAATAACTAACTTACTCGCTTATATTCGAAACATTCGAACTGGTTATAAGTAGAAAACCTTTTCACATCAACTTCTGCGAAGGAAATCGAGTTTTTTCTCCTGGGAACACCACAGTGAGGACGAAACCTATTTTGGTGGATATTTGTCATACGACAACGAGTTAAAGCGCTAGCTATATGTGAGATTGAACATGGCCGATGCTGCCGCGATGTCGACCATCCCCTAGGGATCAAAATGGATGCCATCGAAAATTATGAGATTTGAAAGTACTTGCCGACAAGGGGCGAATTTAAATTGTTTGGAAACGATTTTACTATAATCAGTAAGTTGGCCACGAACAACAAAAGCAGAATCAGCGATGGTACATAAATCAGCTTCTCGTTGATCTGCTGGCTTGATTAGCTTGACATGTCCTTGTAAATTTGAGATTAGCCCATCCGTTGCTTATGTAATCATGTTGTTCGCATAGAGAAAGTGCTATTCAACGCATTTCTGGATTTATGGATGAGTACTTAACATTATCATGAAGCATTTCTATTCAATATGTCAAGGTAGCGATAAAAGTCTTCTAATTTAAACTTCTGTCAAACGATCTTTTTAAATCTAAGGACTTCGGCGATACATAATTAGCATTTTAAAGGGGCTTAGAGCACATATGAGTGTGTTAGGATGCGTAAAGACAATTATCGAAGCAAAATCGGTATATTCAAAAGTATTGGGCTTAAAGCTTACTATTACTTATAAGGAGGTGGTTTTATTCTAAACATTACGAGCAAAGTTGGGTAATAAAATAGGTTGCCTACAGAGCCACTAAAAGGTATTAATAAATGAGAGGAACGCCTTACTGTAACCATAATCTTATGATTTTTTCACATTATTCTATGCTTAAAGCATCATGTCTACCTTTCCGCCTTTTTCTGTCTCCATCGTTCCTTTTCTGTTATTCTCCACGTGCTCTTTTAAGTGGCTCCTCTTTCAACGGAGCCTCCAACAATTCGGCTATCTATACGAATTTAACTAAACTTTTTAATCAAGTCCATCTTTCATATTTTTTCAAAGCTCGGTAAATTTACTACTGAAATTTGAGAAAAACGAGAAGCCTATAATTTTCCTTTAGGAGACTATGAACACATATTCATTCCTGGCTGAACCCGATGATCATCTAGCCAATTATGAGTGCCGTGCTTCAAATAAAAAAGGACAAGAACCTCAAACTCGAACAGTTCACGTTAAAGTTGCATGTTAGTTAGAGTTGTTTAAGACGAATATTAAGTCCATTGCTGCTAAAATCTGATGTTTGTTCTATTTCAGATGCACCACAAGGAGTAGAAATGATAGGAGAAAGTAATGTTCGGCAAGGAAGCTTCACCGTCGTGCAATGTAGAACCAAGTAATTTTTTTTCCTGAACACTAATCAAAATTGTTTTTGTGATTAATTTGGAACAAGGAGTAAGAAAAAGAATTATTACAAAATTGAATAAACTGGATGAATCGAAGAAATGAGTGATGAGTCATCAAAATCATCTCTTTACATCAAAATCTTTCACTCGAACGTTTCACTTAAGTAGTCTATAATCCTGTATCTCTTAGGGTTCTTGTTGTGTTTTATCTCTATCGTTACTGTATTATTTCACTTTATAGAATCCCGATTTTTTAAATGGAATTAAGTAGATCGTTTTTGTTTCTTATTCAAAAAAAGTCTTGACGGAAGTCGTTGGAAAGTTACCAGTCCAGTCTGCGAGTGAGACTTAGAGATCTCGTGGTGTTCCTTGTTCCTGGATTAGGGGTCGTTACTATCCGACGTTTGCTGTTCTCATGGAATAAATCCTACTGAAGTAGTGTAACACATGGACCAAATGTTGATTGCCTAATTGACGTGCATAGCCGTTTAGTTACATCATCGACAATGGTTCCGATTGGATTTGTGCAACTGCCAACTTATTCTGTGGATGTAATTAATGAAATGATTGAGGATATTAATTGAATGAGGAGAGATTGTGGTAATTAACTGATTATGAGTCAGTGTCGACGAAAGAAAGTGTCTAGAACGTTGATGAAGAATCTGCGCTTGTATTTACAGAGCGACAAATTATTCAAAACTGATGGAGATGTGCGGTAGTCGATAGGTTCTTCATTTACAGACCATCGAATCCGATATCACGAATTTCATGGCTTGTTAATGGTCATCCAATACCGGCAACAGTACAAAGTGAACATCAACAGGTTTATAACACACTGATACTTTATTTTGCAGAGTTAGGTTTCCTTATATCTCTTACGATATATTTTTCACGACTGTCTTAGAATGGTGTTTGAGAAACATCAAACTTCTTGTTTTCCATTTGCATCCACATGTTTTTGTCAGATTTTATGATTTTTCTGTAAACCTCTGACTTATGCTTAAATAATAGACTGATCACCAAGTTAGTATTTTATCTACTACTTGCTAGAATTTTTCACGGCAGGGTGTTATGTGAAATACAACCACAATGACGCTGGGATATTCGCAAAACTCCGGACCAAAGGCATCTGCGGTGGAGAGCGAACGCGCTATTACCTTCTCCGCAGACTGACACATTCACCACCACACTATGCGAATCCTTCGTTTTGCTTTTCTCTATAGCAGACTTATATTCAGCCTCTTCAGCTCTAATGACTTACATATTTTGTATAAAATTTTGCAGCGCTCATTTGATATTTAATAAATTTGCAATTAAAATAGAATAAGTACGATGATATTTTAAGATGCATGGTTTTATCGCCGTCGCCAATCTTACTATTAACACTAATGAGGTAATGATGGGAAAACATCGGCTGACAGTTGAATGTAACGCAAGAAATGATGAAGGATCGGCGTCAAAACAACATGTGATAAAAATTCTTGGTAATATTTTGAATGATTGTGCAAAAATAAAGATTATAGGTATAAATTCGGTATTTAACAACTCGTTTTTTTTCCTAATTTTCCTAGTGGAAATCAACCTGTAACAACTTTAACTGATCGACGGTATAATTTTTACTGCTTCTAAACCTCTTCTTCTGTTTTCTTCTTTCAACCTTTCAGTAATTTCTTGTTTTAAATGTTAGTCGGTAATTCAGTTAGACCTTAAATAAAGGAAATTTTTCAGAAATTTCTGTTCGCTTTCAGCACCCCCATTACCGCCACGAATCAGTGGTCTTGAAGATGGTATTCATCTAGAAGGCCATGTACTGAATGTGACTTGTGAAGCTCACGGTGGAAATCCACTCGCTGATATTTCATGGTACAGAGGATACGATAAAGTAAATTTCTAAACTTATCGACTTTTTCTTGTCAAAAATAGTGATCGGTTTTTGTAAAATGGTGTTTGCTTCGTGAAAAAAGTAGTTGTATTTGAGCGTATGCTAAAAGGAAGACGAAGACCACGCTGGTCAAAGGTGAGGGACTCTTAGAAGCTTTGTTGGCTATTGTGTTGTTTTTTTTTATAAAATTGTTTTTAAGAAATGCATTTCTTTTTGAAAGTTTTAGTTTTTATTTTTTCGAGATGCTGTTGTCCAGCAATGTCGTTGTGGTTTGTTTCAGTCCCACTTGCATGCATGAGACCACAATCTCAGGGTTATTTGCAAAATTGTTTCATGGTAGTGTTCGCGACTGAAAAATCTTTCTTTTTTTCGTTGATTATTTTTAGTAACACTAATGGTATTAGGGCTTACTGACTTTCTTTAGTAAAGCAATCGTTAATGAAATTGTTAAAAAATTTTCAAATCGAAGAAGATTATTTCTTAGGATGTATTTTACGTATCGTAGTGCCATTTTTCAAGGCATGGTTAGATTCTTAAAAAGAGTAAAACGCCTTGAAATTTTTGACCATTCTGGAAAATCTTTGTCACTGTCCAAATGTGGGAGCCATCTGAGTGCCTGCTGCACCATTCAATTATTATTAAGTGCTTTTTTTTCCTCTCAACTCCTTCAGCCTATTACGTTTCTTCTTTCCACTACAGTTTTTCCAATCAATCCATTAGCATTGTGTGTATGTAGCGTGCTTCAAATGTGAGATGCTTCACGTCGTGTTGTACAGCACAGTGAAGAATTGTTCTAGTTCACCAAGCAGTCGTGAATTTCTGGATCTATCTCGATCGTGTTTCAGTTGCCTGGTGCTCGTTCATCGGTATCTGGTGATTCGGCAATCTCGTCATTGTCGTTGACGCTTGACAGAACGATGAATGGACAACGTCTCAAGTGTGAGGCGATGAATTCAGCATTAGATGAGCCATTAGTGGATTCAAAACAACTCAACGTGCTGTGTAAGTTTTTTATATGTAAAATCGGAGACGAATCGGAGACCCACTTATTTCTAACGACGATGCTGTAATCCTTGTCGCCGTTTTCACTTTTAAATATCTGAAATTGCCTATATATAGCATTGCCTTCCAAATCTATTATTTAGTATTTCTTAGCATCAAATGGAGCTTCTAGAAATGGTCTCTATTTATTGGGTAAATGAATCTAGTCGCAGAATTAATCTCTGTACTAATGACTGTCGGATTGTGGTGGCGACACATAGACACCTTGAGGGATTGCCATATCATATCTTGCTGACCCAAGTACTTCTTTTGATTGGTTTTGTTGTCTTCTAAGCATCATCTAAAGAAGAAGTTTAGTTTATGCAAAAATTTAACTTCGGTGCAAGAGCCTTCATTCTTTTCTACTCCTTAAGTTGATGATTCGTGCTTGATCGATGCATTATTTAATGTCTCGAGCTGTGTCAGTGTATTTCTAGGTCTACACCACAAGCAGTCATTTGTCTTGGTGGATCAGAGGGAAATCTGTTGCCTCTAAACCAGAATTTGTTCTGATATTCGAGATTCCGTTGCCATTACAGTGTTTGCGACCCATCGAATTACTGAAGACTACGGAAGAGCCCAGATCCGATCCTACTAGGGAAAATTACTGAGAGAGGATCAATTTTGCGCGAAACCACAAACATCCCTAAATTTCTTCAACATCGCCTTTTCGAAAAGAATAAAACAACTTCGTAATGTCCACTAGCGTGGCCAAAGATTATAGCCAGCACTCAAATTGATGTGAAAGTCCTTCTAAGTCTGTTAATTTTCTAGTTTGTTAAGAGCAAAAAAAGTTGTAACTTCACTGCTCCTAATCCTCCGCTTAGGTTTTAGGCGCAAACAGAAAAACATGGCTGCAATAGTTTCGAAAAAAATTATTGAACTACATCTCAATATTGATGTTTCCTTTCACGCTTTTAGTTGAACCACGCCGTGTGATGATCAGAATGCCTGAAGGCACACGACATCAGCTCATTGCCGGCGAAGAGGCAAAATTACATTGTCTAGCAGCTGGATCGAACCCAAATGCTCACATCATATGGCATTTCTATCCAAACGGTGAACCAAATCCTCTCATATTCACTGGAGAGACTATTCTGAATGAAACGTAAGCAAAAATGTCGAATATATATAAATGTAAATTTACATGTTTATAAATTGGGCGTTCTCCAATTCTTGAAGTGCTCACCAAGTCTTCTTCCTCGTTAAGTATCTCAGGGGTGAACAAATGCATACCTGACCCAAACAGTGACTTATGATGGTTACCAGTGTAAAAAGGTTATTATTTTACCCTTCCAGAGAACTTTACTAGCATTTCACGAACACCTAAGCAATGGGAGGTTTGCTCAGCCAAAGATCAAGATTGCTCAATTAACCTCTAACCACTGCTGTGTACGCACCCATATATATATATATATATATATATATATGTACGTGTATATTATTATAAAATTATAGGGCGCGTGTGGGGCAGTGTTTGGAGGCGCCACTGCGGCACACACATGGAATTGATCACAGCGCCCATGGCCCACCAAGCCTTCTATCCCTCCGGGGTCGGCAAATTGCTACCAGACTTGTCTGGGAGTATAGCAGTTTATAGCGAAATGAAAACGTTTACTTTTTTGCATGCGGGAAACGAAGGACTCGCATGGTGTGGTGGTGAACGCGTTAACTCCCGGAAAGGGTAATGGCGCGGTTCGTTCCCCACCGCAGACGCCTGCGGTCCGGAGCTTGCAAATACCTCAGCATCGTTGTGAGTGTATAGAAGTATATGGGAATGCTAAATTTTTGTTTTTTAAGTAGCTTACAAAGAAAGCGTGTGGCGCAGTGGTTGGAGGCGCCACTGCCATACGCACGTGGAACCGATCCATGCGCCCATGGCCCACGGAGCCTTCCATCCCTCCTGAGTCGGCAAATTGGTACCAGACTTGTTTGGGAGGATAACAGCAGTGGCTCGATAGATCGGTAGGACACCGTGAGTCATTGTAAAGACCAGATATGCTTTCAATCACACCCAAACGATGTTCAATGAAGTCGAATGCATGGCGCATCCCTCTGCGATTGATCAACATCGAGTGCTTTATGCTCTAGTGAACAGTGTGTAGAAGTATATGATAATGCTGGTTTTGTGATTTCTAAGTTGATTACAGAAGTTAAAATTGCGCAGAGAAGAGGAGCTATACTTTAACTTTGGACGATGTCTTCGAAATAAACGTACACATGATGAAATGAAATCTTGATCTGCAAATACAATTCCTATCAAGTGCTCATTGACGTTTACGGTAGGAAGGTAGTTTGAGTTGAAATTTACTAAATACTAGGGATATATACAAATTAACGACGAGGAGGAATTCTCGGTGATTGAGACATGAAGATGCGCAAAATTTCTCGTGCAGAATACACCCTACCGAGGAAACGCGTCTTAATACCGTCGTGATTAGTAGCACTCTCTGTAATGCTCTGTCTGGGCAGTAGATAGGGAACTCATTGCGAGGCTCATATAGACAAACTAATACAGCCAAACAATTTTTTTGAATGTTTTGTGTTGAAATTCCTTTCCATAGATTCCTGGAATACGTCAGGTAGATTATAAATGGTGAGGTACTTACTGGTTTAACGAAGGATACGAAGTTTTTGAAGCAAGCAAAATAGTCGGAAGAATTGAGGGTCGAAAACAATGCCTACTGTTCAAATTTAAAGCCTATTCGTATATTATCGATGCATTAGATGTGTGGTTAGCTAAATTTAAGGACAAACCATGTTTTTAGGTCTTGCATGCTTACTGGCCATCTCTACGCGACTTCACGGTATGCCTCTGTGAGCGATCATGGAAGAAAAAGCATTTTTTTCCCAGTTTCCTGATGTAACTTTTCCATCAACTTTACTTTAGTGCTGTGGACAAGTTATCCTGCCCTGCGGCAAAAGATAAGTTCACTGTAACGTAAAAAAATTGCGTTGGAGTGGACCAATACCTTGATAACTTGGATGCTGACAAGCGTAACGATATATTTCGAAACGCTGATGGAGTTCACCTTATGGCAGAAAGCACAGAATGGCAAGGCTTCGAAAGAATTACCGTTTATCTTCACCTAGTCTACAATGGTATCAAGCTGCAAACGGCGCAGCAATTGGTGAGTGAAATTCATACAAACCTCCCAATGGAAAGGGCCATCTTCATACTTGACTCAAAGAACGACGAATAAACCATTGTTGTTCATAACACATAGATCAGCAGGTATACCGCTTCATATTTCTTGACTGTCGTTTCATCTTGCCATATATAGTTTCCTAGTTATAATTAACTTGCACAGTATGAAAATGTCTTCCTGAAAGGACAGATTTCTTTATTGATGCTGAACGCGTCATATATACTTCAGTCCTCAATGTCATTGTTTATTCCGATTGCTGCATATTGATTCTAAACAGATGTATAAATGAATTTTTTTGTTTTGTTTTATTCCATTTTTCTTTGGCACTAGTGATACTGCTTGAGCATTTCCGTTCTTTTTATGAACGCGTTGAGTGCTGGGTAGAATTAATCTTCCCTTGGGCCTTGGGATGCCCGTGTTAGAACGTCCCGGCGTTGATAGAAAAGTGTCAGCTTCTCCCAGACAAGTCTGCTAGCAACACCGCGGAGTGGATAGTAATATATTCCATCAGGAAGCAAAGTGATGGTTCGACATCATCCCCAACGCTCTCGTCCGTTTCACGCGGGACAAAAAATATCGTCTCCACCAACATTACACGAAATTCATAAAGAGGAGAAATCCTAAAGAAGCACTTCACTGGGATTACCGCGGCTGCTGGCACCAGGCTTGCCCTCCACTTGATAATCGAAAGGAGGTGTATGATCAACTCATTGAAACAACCGTTCCATAGGAATGGTCTTTTTATTTTTAGTCACTATCTTATCTATTCTAGATTGGATAAATTAAGCTGTTATAAACTTGAAACTTCTTCATTGGAAGTCACGTAAATAGCGGCTCTGAAGAAGACGATACTGCCGAAACGTCAGCTAGTGTTGTGTTGTACTGTTTTTCTATGGAAGTAAATGTATGCTGTTTAAAAACCTCGCGAAAAAACAAGAAAACGTGCTGAACACGTTGCTGAACAAGAAAACGACGCATTCCTAAAGTAGTCGAGGCAGCACACCAAATGTTCCAAACCTCTGTGGACGACGTGGAAAACGAATCGAATTCAAGAAGTGCAGTAATCCGCTCAGTAGATTTGGTGGCGGGCCGTTCAAAATAATGTAATATGTGCAATTAATTCTTAATCAAATAGCGTTTGAAGCATGAAAAATAAACCTTCTGCGAACGCATATTCAAGCTGTAGTATTTACATAACATCATAGTCATTTGTACGGTTTTAAAGTATAGAAATATTGTTCATTATTTATTCTTTCTTTGATGAGCTTACATGAGTTTGATAAAGATATTTATTTTCGGCTAACGTTTCGACGTCTTCGTCTTAATCAGAGCCGATGATCCTGCAATAAAAGAGCATCACCAAGTGAGTATGCCTCACTCGAGGTATTGGTCCACTGAGGAAGACTTGACACGAAGGCGAAGCTGCCACGTCGAGACGAATAACAAGCGAGGACCATCGACACGGATCAATCGAAAATAAATATCTTTATCAAACTCATGTAAGCTCATCAAAGAAAGAATACATGTTGTTTAGTAACACCGAGGTTAAAGGAAAGTCGCTTTTGAATTATTGTTTATAATATCTTTCTATGGAAGTACATCGTCGTCTCAGTAATGTTCTATAAATCGCTTTAAAATCCTTCGAGACTGTTGCTGTTTGGAAATACTGGTATATGCTGTATTTTTCCCAGTTTCGGACAAGTATTTCTTCTTATAAAATTGTTGCTGAGGTGTCGTAAAAGCATTTTTTATAATAATCGAATGACTACCAAATAACGTGCTTTAATTCAAAGTCTTGCTCTATGGTTGTTCGTTTCAATTCTTTGTGGTTAACAGGTCTGAACGTGTCAACACTAGCCAATCATAGCCGAACTGCAGTCATGCTGACGCTAATCATGTTTTCCCTAAAATCAAAGAAGTAACATTCATTTTTCGTGTTGGATCCGTCACAGTCGGTTTGCTTTCCAACTCAACTGCGTTCTAAGGTTTTTCTTTATTGCTTTTCTATTTCGTCCATTTCACCTTTCATCGTTGCATTGCGGAGCTATTTCGAACGCGACACCAAGTTGAAAGCTCAGCGTGTCCTACAGGTTTATCCGTCGTACTGAGACGGACCGACTAACCCTAACTTGTACGAGTTATATGTATTTCCCACGCTTACATCTGACTATTTTTTATAAATTCTAAATAATAATGCTAGAAAAATAAGTGGCATGTGGTGCGGCAGCAGTGATGTCGGTCATCACCACTGGTTCCATCCTGTCCCGGGCTCACCAAACCCTCCTATCTATCCGCGGTGGGGAAATTGGTACCAGACTTGTCTGGGAAAGTTCCACTATGCAATCTAAAATGGAACGTTCTAGCTCTGCTATTTATGGACTCGATAAGGAATCAACTCGAGCACAGTCCAACGAGATCCAGAAAACCAAAAATCACAAGCAGCCTCAGAATCTGCACTCAATAATTCGAACAACTTTCTAAAGGGTGGATTCGAGAATATTAATCGAAGATGAGAAGTGCTGGAATCCGCACAGAAAAAATGAAAGACTAATCATGAAGAAAAAACAATAAAATTGCCTTAGAGCTATTCAAAAAGTTATTCCGAAAGATGTGTAATTACGTGCTTCTGCACGTGTTAACACTAACCAATCACAACCGAGCGGCAAGCTAACGAGAAGAACATTTTCCTTTGAATCGTAGAAATAGCATTCATTTCTCGCGTTAGCTCCATCGCAGCCGGTCTGCTAGGCAAACTAAGTGTGCTGCAACTTCTCTTGTAAGGTTTTTCTTTATTTCTTCTTCATTTTCTTCATTCTACTTTCCATCTTGTTATTGCGAAGTTATTTTGAACACGATACCATGTCGAAACATAAGCAAGCGCTGTGAGGTTGTTCTACCGTCTTGAGGCAAACTGGCCAAATAAGCGTCCTACCTCTTATGAGTCATATATATTTCCCACGTCTTCATTCGAATAGCTTTAAGAAATTTCAATGTCTATTGTGATAAAGTTGTTAACTGAATTTAAAATGTTTAGTCCTTCTACGGGTATCAGTTATCCTCTCCAGATTACTGCAGTTCGAACAAAATGGTTGAGTATTTAGCCAAATATTTGAAACACTTGACCATTATTATGATTCCCTAGAGCTAAACAGCTAGACAATACTTACGAGATTACATCTGCCGCTATGTGGCTTTACCTATGAATCATTCTTCCTTATGTGCCCCCGTCTACGCTACAGCTTCCCCCATCTTCTCGTTGTTGCTCAGCAGTAAATTTAAAAATTTTACATAAATTTAATTTTAGCAACTGAAGTCAAATAGTTCTTGGACCTCTTTCGGCAATGGACGAAATCCTGTACCGTAATGATGGTGCTGCAATGGATGAGAACTCGCACACAGCTGATCAAGATGCCCTGGTTCAAAATGTGAGCAAACATGTCGGTAAACTTCTCATTCGCATGAATTTCACTGATATTACGTAAGCTGTCCGTCCTGTGTTAACAGCACAGCGAATCACTTTATATTATGGTGACATGTTTAACCTGGTAAGGTTCGCCGATCTCAGTTAAAAATCGGACTACTTAAGCGATTTAAAACTCTAACATGAACTTTAGAATAAAGAAACTATATCAATTAGCAAATTCAATTCTTGTCAATTGCCCAATACTGAAAATATCGTAAACGTCTTTTCGATAGTGATGGTACAAGCTATAACTGCTACGATAACTCGATGGCCCTTCTTAACCGGTGGTGCGGACACCAGCATAATTTCCAATCGCTTCCCTTTCGCGCAATCGGGAACCATGGTATTGGCCTGCTTCTAACATGGTGACGTCTGCAAGTCGCTTTCCGAATTCCTGAAATCGTCTCCATTTGCGAATGGGATGGTTTACGTTAGCCACGAAGACGTCTGGAAATTATTTTGTGGTTTTCCTAGAGGTGACATGCATTCTCTTAAAGTCCACTACACTTCCTTTTCTCCGACTGTCATCTCTTCATCCTGTGGTGTGACCGGGCCACTGTGTTTAGCTATCGATGTGTTTTCCCTGTGTCCCGAGGAAGGGATAGGTTTCAAGATCTGAGCTGGGCTTTCCGACTAGACGTTTCGAGTGCCAGCTAAACTTCAGAGGACTGAATTAAAACGTCTTGTGATTAGTCCGCAGCATTCTTGAGGTGGGTGAAGTATAATCCTACGCCTCCGATATGGGACAGACCGCCGGGAGGACCGTTGAATAGAAACGGTGGTCGTGGCATCTTGGGCCCGCTAGGTTTGTGCTGGCTTCTCTGAGAGGCGCGAATGCGGCCCGTGCTACTGTCATTTTTCTATATAATTTCTTCAAATGTTGTTTCCCTTGTTCGTCGATTGTTGAAGGTGCACTTACGAGGTGATCTGCGTAATCAGAGAACCACGCAGTTTGATTTGCTCACTTTGTCACTGTGAGCTCTTTATGAACCTGGCTTCCGCCCGCTTCATGCACAGTCCAATTTATTTTTCTTGCTTCGTTGAGTTTGTTAATCAGCGTCTCTGCTCCACTGGTGCTTCTTTGAAATATAACAATTCCGTCTGCAGAAGGAAGATTTGATAGAGATTTCCCATCAACACGTATACCTTTCCTGGCTCAGTAGCCTTAATACATTATAAACTGTAGTGCGATGCAACTTTGGCGATATGGTGTCGCTTTGTCGAATCCCTTTTCCTGCGGTTATGCTAAAAGCTCGAAGAAAAACTGCATAAAACTGCATTTTCGTGGTCTACTTTCGATCACTATTATGCAGAATTTTTATGTAGGAGTGATCCAATCCTTGGTCCTTGATCAATGAACGCTTACAGAAGTGCACGTTTCTTCGCTGGCACACCCTTTTTCGTATTCCACAAAAGTCAGCAGTAGAGGCAAGCAAATTTTTTGACGCTGGACATGGTTTCAATGTGGCCCAGTAGGCAAAATTCTTGTCAAAAATCTGCTTTCTCAACTTGTTGTGTCTCATTCAATGTCCTTGATATGAGTGATAGGAAATCTTCGTGAAGAGTTTGTAAAAATCTTTGTGATGAGCTTATAGAGTACATTCAACGAGCTCAACAAGCTCAACAACAAGCGACGATGGTTACGAAGATCTCTATCAATCACGCTTCTCGATAGGATAACCGCGCCCGACGTTCCCTACTGCTCTAAGATTTTTTCCTTCTAAAAATGAAATGTCATTTGACACGCGATAAGGACAAGTGTTTTGTTGCTTCATGGTTTGAGGAAATCGGCAATGATATTATGGAATCGTGGAGCTGAGCTTTTGTTCCAGCTTTTTGTCATAACGCAAACCTCAGAAGGTAGAAACCCCTGGCTTTTTTTCATCAATAGGGGTTCGAGGTCGAGGACGAGGGTTGCGCAGCGGAAGTGATTGTTCCACTATTTTCTCGTCGTAAATTCTATGTTATAACGTGATGTAGTGATAGCCCCACACTTGTTAATCAGAGCGTATAGCGAAACATTATAGTGCTAAGGATCATGACGCAACTTCTTCAGACGAGGTCGTTTTTGAGTTGCCTCCTACAGGTAGTTATGTCTCTCTGTGTACGTAGATGTAAATGCTTCCGCCAAGATCTTCTATCACTGGGGTTTATTACGACCCGTGCTAGGTGTACTGCAGTATAACCAAGCTCCACTTTCTTTTGTTTTCTTACAACTTTTTAGTGGTAATGGAGATGCAGTCCTAACTTCTTGCTTGAGGAACTGAAAGAGCTCAGCACATGTTTTGAATCCTTCAACAAGCTTCTTGCAGTCCTCGAGCTGGTCCTCTCTTATCTGCTAGTCTATGAGTGTAATAAGATTTTATTGAGAATATCGTTGTAACATTCGAGTTGTTTCACTGTTTTTGGACGATGACAGAATTCCTTTTATAGCTTACGACTGAGTAGAATCTACGCGCGGAGAAGGCGGCCATCAGATCCGCTACAGAATCGAACCGCTGAAGTGTCATAGAAGCACCACTATCTGTTTGTGAGAATATGATCGATTTTCGCTTCGGTCGTGTCGCTTGGAAGCTCCCATGTACATCGGCGATTTCCTCTCCTCTCGAAAAATGAATTTCTATGAAACAGACTTTTTGCGGACAGGTGTCGTACAAGACGATTTCCATTCTCGTTTCGTTCACCTAGACCGATATTTGCTGCCCTGACTTTTTCCGTCCATCATCGTTGGCGGCTCCTGATACGGCACTGGGTTTCAACAGTACGTGTTGGTGAGTTGCAGCTTATGATACCGAATATCCTCCTTCGACTTAGAATGTAGAGACGAGGAATGGCCAAGCACGGTGAAAGGATTTTGTATGACTGGACTAGATGGGAAATAGATAGGTGTGCAATGAAATCGACGCCTCCAAAATTTCATAACGGAAATTTCGCTCTACGAATGAAATAGTCTCCTTCGTCTAATTGGCGCATGTCGGTCTTCCAGTTTTTCGTATATTGCAGGGCGATCATATGGGATTTAATGTGACCAGAGGCCTGAAGAAAAACGTAAAAATGTGCCTCTGAAGAGATCTGGTGTTATGAGCACACAGCGAGAAGCAATGTCCATGTCTTGTCATGGGCGTGCTCGTTGTATGCACCTGTTGTAGTGTAGGCGTCAACTCCCTACCCTACTGAGGTTCAACTGAGAATCAGGTTTTCTGATGAAGATGTGTAATTTCTGTAAAATTATTAGGTAGAAACCCATGTCCTTTCCCATTGTGTACTAGCGATCTTCTTGGTGGTACCATTATTGTAACTGCTGATGACACCGTTCGATTAGAAAACACAATGAAAATAAAACAAAACAAGGCGCTCAGTGCTGAAGTGGGTAACACGTGAGCACGCGGAAGGTATTAATCGCTGGTACGGTTCAGGTTTAAGGTTCAAGTTTTGCAAATATCTCGGCAACTCTGTGGTTGCACTTCATATAAAAAACGAAGTAAAAAATAAAAGGCAGTGAATAAAAAGTGAAACTAATTTTATTGCTTTCTTCCAGGAGGATAGAGGTTAGGACTTGATAAATTCCTTGAGGATATTTGTTTGGTTATCATAGTTGTTGGAGTTCTCATTACACATGCGATGTTGCTTCAAAATAAAAGACACGTTTAGCCTAAAAACGCAACATATGAACTGCACGCTAGCTGAGGTGCGCTAAATCAGCCAAACTTCTTCATTTGCCTGCGAGTTAACTTTCTGACATGAAGTCAAATATGATCTTGAAGACAGTGAACTCTGAACTGTATTGGTTACTTTTATTTCACGGCGGCGGAGAGCAGCATACGGTGCTAATCTGAGTGGCGGTTCGCAGTGACAAACTGATTCAATTTAGCGACTCATAAAAAGTCGTATCCTGCGTATTCCTAATATGGCTCGTGTTTTAATTTCTAGGGATACCGTTCTCATCTCCTCTCACGATCACGTTCAAATTTTATCTTTGCAGGAAAAGCAACAGAGATCTGCACCTGCTGACTAGCATGGATTAGTTTTACTTGATAAACATGAGGTGTGCCGTGTAAATGTCACATGTGCTCGACACCTCGCCTAGCGTCTAACTGGTTGACAGGTTGATCGAGGCTTATCTTCATGGGTTGAGCCAATATCGTTGACTTACAGTACTTGGCTCAAGCGGTGCATTGATCGTTTTGACGGTGGCCGTCGTACTGGCGCAGAGCAGATACTCGTAGACTGTGATAGCCCAAATTTGCCCATTGATCACTTCGATTCGACATTATTATGCAGGCTGAGCACAAAGGATAAGGAATAAAGCTCTCGGTGTTGTTCAATCCCTGAGGGATTTTCCATGCATTCGACTTCATTAAACGTCGGTTGGAGGGGATTGAATGCATATTTGGCTTTTACAATGGCTCGCGGTGGCCTGCCGATGTATCGAGCCAGTGCCGCTATCCTCCCAAACAAGTGTGGTACCAATTTGCCGACTCCGGAGTGATGGAAAGCTTAGTGGGCCATGGGCCCTGGGATCAATTCTACGTGTGTGTTGCGGGGCCCCTCAGACCACCGCACGAGCTGAGCATACGTCCTTTTATACCACTGATGGAAAGTGTTCTGGTACATAACCCACTAAAGGAAAGACTGCAGCAGGAATCAGACTCGCTAGATCGTGAAAAAGCAGAAATTCGGTACGACAGTAGACATGGGTTCATACTAAAATCGAATAAAAAATTAAACAAATATACCTGATGAGAGACAGTGTTAAGGTCTTATAAAAATAGATCAAGGGCGATAAGAACGATACTATCAGAGCGCTTGACGCCCATATTGATAGCTCATTAGCTCGGGCAGTTCAGGCGCACGAGAACATTACTCATTTTCACTTCGTCGGCACCGTCAATCATACCTTCTCTTTCGGTTCAATCAGCGAGTACAGTCGGTTCACTTTAGTAACAAAGAAAAATCTCATTTCGAAGGTGATCTCTTTCATCCACATTTGATCCGTCCATGCTCGATTGGTCTCATGCCTCTCTATTTGGTTTTTCTATAATATGACAGCCTAATTTATGCTTGGTCTTACTTTTTTGCTCTCCATATATACTCACCTGAGTGAAGAGAATTGTCTACTATTTTATGGATTGAGCTGCGAAACATGACATGATCCTAGGTGTCTCGGTCGTATTTCGAACGACGTGGCTCCAATGCTCTGTTGCTGATTGGCACCTTAAAATACTTGAAAATTAATCAAAGTTTTTCGAAATTTTTTTTTCTCATTGGAGAGATGTAATTTTGCCTTTTGTATATATTCCAAAACTCATAAAGGCCTTTGAACTAGTGTAAAAGAGTGTGGATGTGCAGGTTTATGAGTTTGTCAATGGCTTTTTGAAATTTACGTTGGAAGCACTCATTACTTTCTGTCCCTTGTTCAGTTTCCAGTAAATCCACTACTCATCAGCACCTTGACGAGGATATGGGCCATACGTAAACTCGTATACGACCAGTTTATCATTTCTCCTTCAAACAAGAGTGTACTAATTTTGCTGGTCGTTTGAGCAAGTGCGATTTCTTCCAGGGGTAGAGGATAGTGTCTTCATTCAGAGTTCCTCCAGTATCACAGCCGTAAATACATTTGGAAACCGATGAAAAGAAAGATCTCTTCTATAGATCTACAAACTTTTTAAGTGTTCAGTTATTCCAATGTGAAAAAAATACTGACAGTTATAAACAAGCCTAATGCATATGGGCTAAACTGCCTTGGCATAGAATTGATGCGGTCTCCTTGAAAGGAGACCCATTGGTATTTATTTATTTTCCATTGTGCTGATGGTCCTTCCTGTGGGAGCAAGAGGATCGAAATTTTGCTACGACAGAGCAAGACATTTTGTCTTTTCTTAGCAAGGAAGTGTAGATAGTAAGGATTTTTGCTCAATAGAATTCCTCGGGAACTATGATGCGTTTGTTGAAACTCTAAAGGTTACGTGTTAATCGTAAATGTCTCACATTCTTATTAATGTGCTAAAAAAATTAATTGAATGGCGAAGTGAACAAGAGACTGAACACGGTGCTTGCCCTTTTACAGAATATTCGTTGCTAATTGACGAAGAAATTCAAAGGTAGTTTGATTCTTGAAAATGGAGCTGCGCGTTCTTCCTCGTGATTCTTCGTTTGGTAGTTCGATGATGTGGGGTGGAGGAAGTGTAAATGTTGAACCAGAATAGTGCATTTAACGTCTGCGAATTCTCCTTGAACCTTCGTAGCACATCTGAGGCGTTGTAGCGATAGTTCACCTCACTATGGCAATTGATCACTCCTGTTCGAGTCGTTTCAATATTTATCTTCATATCCGTAATTTTGGCACAGTGCACCTCTAAATTGACAGTGTACTTATGTGATGATGCTGCAGCTGAAATCTATACTTCTGAATGTAATTTAATGAACGTCACTCGTGTTAACCCGCCAAGGCTTTTCACTCCTCGGAATGAACTCCTTTGTACCCTATTTCTCGGACAAAGTATTCACTGTTATATATCGGTCTTCATATTCTTAGTCTCCTAAACAGTAATCACGTAAAATTTGGTTTTACATGCAGTTTCGAAAGGATGAAAAAGGCAATATTTGGCGAGCTCGCTAAGTGTCTCTTGCACATTTGGTTTCAATACACTTGCAGTGATGTCTGGTGTGAAAACTCGGCACTCGCTTGATTTTCAGCGCCGGACCTAATATCTATTTTACATTAAAACTCTCGCATAGAGTAACACCTGTACATGTCCCAGTAGTTTTGCTGGACTGGCCGGGAATGTAGTGTAGGTCTCACTTTCTTTTCGGTGGTTTTTTTCAGCACGTAGCACTATTTTCCTCCATTCGTTATTATCAGTTGATAGAAAGCAAAGATATTGTCTACGGTGTTGGTTGGAAAAAAAAATTCTATGCCTAGAAATATACAAAAACCGTTTGACCAACGAGTTCGCTAACCAAAAATTTGGGTGTTGATCGACTACTGTTTCAATTCTAATTGCCGCAGTGAATGATTGTTATCACATAGAGCGTGCGAACGTAAAAAATACTGAAATAGAGACAAGTGAATTACAAAACACTTCACTGACAACAATGTATTTGTATGATGGATTACAGTAACATAAACTAAATGAACACTAGAAATACCTTTCACACATATGGAAAGATAGAGCACAGTTTTTTTAAAATCTGCTTTCGTATACAATTTACTAAGTTTTTTAGTTAACGCATGATTACCGTTTATTTTCAAAAAAACCAGCCAGTCCGTGCAAGCCGATGGTTATCCATCGGCGCGAAAGTCTTAGGAACAACCAGTTCACGCATAGTTGGGTAGGGAACTAGCTGCAGATAGGAGTAGTTGGAAAATATTTTTTCTCAATTCATTCCTCTTCAAATTCTTCTGAAACTGTGCTGCACGACTTTACGGTTTAGCTTGAAAATGGAGTAAATAAGGCTTGTGGTCAAGAAAGCAATGGTGGTTCCATCATCCAACAGGCGCCAATAAACAATGATTTAAACGTAGCTCGTTGGCAGGTTCGTTTGTATGTCCTTCTTTTTTACTTCATTTTAAATGATCTGCCCTCACATGAATTTACTTTGGAGACCTCAGTACTTCTTTCATTTGATTCTTCAAATTCATGTTATGGTTCATTTAAATTATCTGGATTTTCTCCTAAAGCAATTTCAGGGGCCAGACTACGCCAACTATGAGGGGTCCCGACAACATCCTAAGGCGTTCCTTCCAATGAGGTAAACAAGATGCATTAATTGGTTTGATTTTTCAAAAGATTTGCGAAACGTTTTTTTTGCAGATTTGACATGGGTCGCTCCTTTATGAGCACACTGCCATCGACAGACGTCGTCTGTGCCGGCAGAACGATGAAGAGGATTTTAATGGAACCTTATGCGGCACGAACCTTAGGAAATGGAAAAACAGTTTGTTTGGATAATCACTGTTTTGTACGAAGAGTGATTTATTTCACTCTTATCACTTTTCTCTTCTCTTATAACGCAACATGCATGCAATCAGTGGATCATGGAACTATTGCAGCCGTATACATCTCGAGAACATTAAGAAATGAAAGGAATAATGAATAATGAGAGAAAGTAGAGAAAACGTGAAGGCCATGTTTATTCAGTTATATTTCTGAAATCGGAAAACGTAAAATTTAAGGGACTTACTGTATACCCTGGGTAGAAATCGGGATGTCTAGAAACTCCCTCAAACATGCTTGCAAAGGCTGAACCCCTTCAACAGTTCTCGTGCTACTAAAGTTCTCGTGCTATCTTAAGTCATCGTGCTACTAAATAATCTAATTTTTTCACAGGTATATAAAAGCCAAAACACTCTACCGCTGTTAAAGTCGAAATGTGAGCTTTCAGGAAATGCATGTTTTTGTTCAGGAAAAACGCCAACTGCTTCCACAGATCTGTTGGCGTGGCGACAACGCAGAATCAGTTTTCTCTCTACAACTCTCCTTCTATGACAATCTTATTTGGAACTCGTTCGTTTGTATTTTTATCCATGTTTTTAACTACGATCTATCCACAGTAATTTCAGAGAGGTTGCTCTTGGTGGCGCTAAGGACACTCCCACCAGCAATGATACTGAAACTATTCCCAGAGGAAGCGGTGATTATTTAAAAGTTCAGATATACAAAATCTGTAGAGATTCACTACAATAGCACGGTCTCGCTAAACTTTCACTGAATAGGGAGCTTGTATTCTAAAGTTTAACTTCTGGACGGCTGAGCCACTGTGTTTATCAATACCGGCGGATGGTCCTTCAGGTGTTCAGATGTTATCCTATTCGGATCTGGTGTGTTCGATTTTTCACCGACGAAATGGCATGTCGGATTTCGGAAGGGAGAACCAGTGGTACAATATATCCATCCTCCTTTACTTCATATGACGGAAGGTGGACGTGGTATCGAAGTGATCTGAGTAGTAATCGTAAATGATTTTCTCCATCGCCTTTCTGGACGCTGTAACTGTTTCGTCTGAGCGCCGGAGATCATTTCGGTCTTGTAATTGGCGAAGCTTCGGTGGGCTTTGCGAATGCTTATCCCAGCCTCTGCAGCTTCGGCCATTGCTGCTGCTCTTTTCTCTCTAAGATCTTCTTTTATCGCCTGTCTTAATATTTTTTACATGTTCGGACCTTAGTTCGCAGTTGCGTGCAGCTCGTGCGATTCCACGCTGACGTATCAGCTCGAGTGTTTCTGGAGACAGACTTCTCTTGGTGACTTCCGAACTCTGAGCTTTCATAGCGCTAGCGTGAAGATGTTGAATGAGCCGATCGTATTTATCGTCATCTTCCCTTCCCGACAGCCAACTAATGATTTGAACTTGTCCCAGTTTATGGTAGCCTTTCAACTTCATTTTTTGAATTTAGCGGCTTTTCTCCTTTCCGCGAGAAATGAAATATTGCACGAAGGAAGCGATAGCTTGATTTCGTGTGGAATTTGGGACAAGAGCGAAATAAGTTAGGCAAAACTTTCAATTTACCATTATGTGGTCTATTTCGTTATGGCACTCTCCACTAAAAGGTTATTGCGTCCAGCATTGAGGGTAGGGCTTCTGGAATTACGAGTTACCATGGATGGTCTTGGTCACAATGATAAACTCAGATAGCCGCTCACCCTGTTCGTCCCATTTTAATCCGTGGGTTTCAATGTGACGTTCTTCTTGGTCCAAACTTGGCGTTGAAATCTCTCATGATGACCTTAAAGAATGCAGAAAGAAAATGGTCTTTTCGGTAGAAGTTTTCGAAGTCTTCTTCAACGTCTGAAGTTCATCTTCATCATAGTTTAATCTCGGCGCGTGAATAGAAGATTGTCAAAACCAGCATTGATCCACATCTGTTCAAACGTTATCAACCAATTCGAGTTGTTAGTCATTCGAATGAATCGATATTTACGACCAGACTCGTGTTGACCAGAACCCAGCCCTGCCTTCTCCTCTGTCGTCGCTTGTTCCGGGAAACAGTTCTTCGTCGCTGTCATAGACGACTTTGAGTGGGTGGCGTCGTCCTAACTCGATCAGTCATCAAGTGTTCTATCGAGAACTGAAGTGGAACTGTGCCATTGTGAGAAAGATTGTTGGTAAAGACCGCCACCAAACTCCTTTGTGGTTTAGACAGCTTAGAAACATTCTGAGATTATACCACGTTTTCCGTACTCGTCGTACCCAACGCTACTGAATTGGGGCATTTTTGGAGTCAGGGAAATAAGAGCCGTTTAGTTTACTTTGTCTATCTTATCAATACCCACGTATAGCTTAGTGAGCTCTTAAGTTGGGGTTGGGTATATTTACGGGTAGCCATCCAGTGTCTCCCATAATAGACGTGGTATTATTTATTGGACACGGGTCTTTACCAGCACCCATATACTTTCTTGTCACTTAAATGGAGGCGCTAGGCCAGATTGACTCGTAGAATACGACCCACGTGAACGATAAAACACCCACGCACGTATGCATCACCTGTGTTACCTGTAGTCCCGTTGATCGTCGAGTTACTGAAGCGGGTGTCATTAAATTTTTTTTCCTTGTCCCATGCAAGAGTAGCCCAAGCTTCTGCTCGCTCTAGGGGCTCGTCGAATATCATATCTTTTTTTAAGCTTTTCGTAAAGAACTTTAACCATCGAGTCGGTGGACTTTCTGCAGTACCTTTGAAATTCCGAGGAATCCAGGCACTAATGGCTCTTGTTCACCTGTTGTCATTCATACGCATTACGTGTCTTGCCCACCTTACCTTCGACTGTTTGGCATACAGAACAGCATCTTTGAATTTTGATCGTTGACGCAGATCGGAGTTTCGGATCCCATCCCTTACTTGTGTGGAGCGGGATACTGCTAGTATCGTTCTTTCGACTGCGCGTTCGATAACGGTGAGTGACCTTTCATCCTGCTTACGCAGGGACCAGGTTTCTGACGCAAACCTTAGGGCAGGAAGTACTGTTGAGTCGAAAAGGTGAGCAAAGAGTCGGGTGTTCTTTGTACTCTTCACTACATCCTCGATGATCTTGAAAGCTCCCCAGGCCGCTCGTTTCATTTTTCTCGGCTCTAGAGCTAAGTCATTCATCATGTTGGTTTCCCGACCTAGATAGACATAACTGGAGCATTCAGAGATAAACGTTCCGCTGAGCGCGAATGGGGCATGCAAAACTAATCCGCTCCTCATGAACATCGTTTTTGTGAGATTTAGCCGAAGACCAATCTTCCCACAGGCAGGCTTTATCAAAGTCGAAAAGCATACGTTCCGTTTGGGTAATGTTCGGTGTTATAAGGACGATGTCATCACCAAAGCGAAGATAGTGCAACTGCGAACCACTGATTATCACTCTCATGTTATCCCATTCCAATGTTAGCATGATGTTCTGGTTTGTAGTGGTAAAAAAATTTGGCGAGTTGGTAGCGCCTTGCCTAACTCCTCTTTTGACGTCGATGTTAGTATCGTCGTAGAATGATGATATCTTGGTAGTGAAATTTGTGTGCAGCTCACGAAGAATCTTTATGTACTAAGTAGATACTTCTTGACTATCAAGGGTTTCCATGACTGTCTCAATTAAGTCAAAGGCCTTCTGTAAATCGATGAAAGAGAGACAGAGTGGTCTTTTGTACTCTCGCGATACTTCCATGAGCCGTTTTACCGTGTAATGTGGTCCATCGTACTAAATTCTTTTCGAAACCCTGCTTGCTCACATAGCCTTCCTTCTTCCAGTGTTCTGCCAGTCTTGTTTAGGATGACTGGATTTAAAAGTTTGTAGACGACAAACAGCAGGCGGATTGGGCGATAGTTTCTAATATCGCGTGGGTCACCCTTCCTGAACAACAACACGGTCTTGGTGGTCTTCTACTGAGTAGGAACCTTGCATCCACACAAGTAACGTGTGAAGAGCCGAACCAGTGTGTTTCCGAGAATTGGCAGAAGGTTCTTCATCATATCCTGTTCGGACCTGGTGCTGTGCGATGTTCATCTGCAAAATGGCATGGAGGATTTCGGAAGGGAAATCCGGTGGTACAACATATCCATCCTCGTTTATTTCATATGACGAAAGGTGGACGTGGCTACCGAAGAGATTCGAGTAGTATTCGCGAACGGTTTTTTCCATTACCTTTCTGGACACTGTAACTGTACCGTCTGGGTGTCGGTGTGCAATCATCTTGTTCCTGTAATTGGCGGCGCTTCAGCAAGCTTAGCGAGTCCTTTTCCAAGCCTATGCTCCGTCGACCATTACTGCTGCTCTTCTCTCCTTATGATCTTCTTTTATCGCGTGTCTGCATTGTTATGCAATTTCGGACGTCGGTTCGCTGTTGCCTGCAACTTGTGCGATTCCACGCTGGCTTATCAGCTGGTGTGTTTCTGGAGACAGACGCCTCTTGGTGACTCTCGAACTCTCAGCTTTCATAGTGCTAACGTAAAATGTTGAATGAGCCGATCGTATTCTTCGACGATATTATCGAAAACGGCGTCTTCCCAACAGCCGACTAATGAATTAAATGAATCCTAGTTTGCGGTGGTTCTGGGACTTCGGTTTTGGAATTTAGCGGCTGTTCCTCCTTTCCGCGAGAAATAGAATCTTGCGCGAAGGATGCGATGGTCGGATCCCGTGTAGAATTTTTTATAACAGTGACATCGGTGTTGTACTCTCCATTGGGACACTCCCGCGTTCACTCATCGTGTTCGTTAAATTCTAATCCGTGGGGCCTAGTGTGACTCTCTTCAAATCTTTTCCTTGGTCCTGTCTTGTCGTTAAAATCTCCAATGATAACCTTGAGGAATGTGAGTTTTCTCTGTAAAACTTCTTCAAGTCCATATAGAACGCTTCGATTTCTTCTTCGTCATAGTTTGATGTCGGTGCGTAAGCGACGAAGATTGTCAAAGCCAGAGTTGATTAACGTCTTCTTAATCATAAACGTCCGGTTGAAGTTCTTATGTTGTCCGTGGATACATGAATACACTCTCGTAAATGCGGAAAGTACGTGCCAGGTCGATGCAGCAAAAACAGGGAATCCGTTCCCTTGATGCCCGTACGTCTCAGGAAGCAAAGGTCGCTTTTGGCTCGTGGTTACCCCCTTTCCTCCACTTCGGGTCGTGCCACGTAGCCTCTCGACTACTCTGCCTGAGATCCGTAATATGATTGAGATCTGTAGTCGTTATATTAATAGGAAAGCAATATATTAATGGAAACCGGGCCCTTCAAGAGCAACAAGATAACATGAATTGTATTCAGGTTCGAAAACTTCTACATCTGATTTGGAATTTCCAAGAATGTTTGGTAGCCATTCATTTCGAATTATTGCAGAGGTTTGATAAAAACTGAAGACTTTGCTTCCATGGCTCAAATGTAGCAGGTTATTCGTGTACATACTGTATATTCCGTATATTATAGGGCAATCCAGAATTGAACAATCACATCTGGGAGTTTCATGACTGTTGCATGTTGGCCGACGCTGACTTGCCAATATTCGGAGGTGGACAATTCCCAAACCTATCTATTCATATGAGGTATATCAACATAATACTAATGCTTTGCTGGCACCTCGTAGTTTTTTTTGATAGGCAAAATTGTACCTTTGGCAAAACGTATTTTTTTCAGCGAGCAAGCGAAGCCTATCTCAGTACTTTTTGGCGTGGACACTTTTCTAGAACGAATAATCTGTAGTTTGTCTAGAAGCGTAGTTGTCTACCACGAAGATGGACCAGTGGAAGTACAAACTTTTTGGCAACGATCTGAAGCCCAATTTAAATTTGATTTTCAAAAGTCGTCATAGGTTTATCTATCATTTCAGGACTACGATGTTGTTTTCAAGGAAGAAATTCCGCATATTGTTGGCAGCGAATTCGACCCAGTGAATCTGAAGAGCATCATTAAGAATACAATGACCTTCCTTTCTAAGAATATAGCACATCGTGGTCATACATACTGGTTGCTCAGAGGTGATTCGCGGTGTTTCGATATTTATTTTACCCATAAAATATTTTTACACTCGTTTATTTTCAGAGAAAAAGACAAACCACTTGAAGCTATATGATCTTACCAGCACATGCTCTAGCATTTCCAGCTTACCAAACTGGAATCCATTCCTTTCACCTGTAGCCGGGCTTTTGTACAAGGCGGGGATATAATGCTATATTCGTGATGTTCATTGTGTGCGCAGCCATCGTAGTGGGTTACGTTTCCTTGAACTATGCTCTCTTGCAGTTGTCAACTGAGCTCATTGAAAAGTCAGCACGGAATCGACCAGAAAAGATTTCCAATGTTATTTATGGCCTACTGTCTGCCGCCGCAAAAATTGCAGAAAATGAGAATTATGCAGAGGTAATTTGTCGAATTTGTACTGTGAAACTCTCACCTGCCGACAATTTTTTTTGGCAGACTAAAATATGTGCTCATTATTCGCTTGCGGGTGTATATTTGATGTTTGAATTTGATGAGGATAACTCAAAGTTGGACCAATATTCCTATCTGATGGAAAGTCTGGACGATGTTCCTTCAAATAGTGGCTACCCACGGATCACGTCAACTATTCAGGTAGTTTCAGGAAATTCTTACTGGTTTTGCTGGAGCTATTATGTGCACCATTCGTTGAAATATCGGTGGTTATTGCTTGGCTGCGTTGATGTCTGACGTTCTTTATGTCGAAATTAAGCGAGTATAGAGCAGGGTGTTTCATTAACTCGATGAACTTTTTAAAAATTCTAGGAACATAACTAACCATTTAGTTTGTTACAAATATCTGCTTCTTACTAAACCTTTACGGCACTTTCAGACAACGGATTATTTATAGTATAAATATTTAGCTTTTTATAGTTTATAAAGTGTGCAGAAGTGGAAGTATACGTGTTTTAGGTGGATTGCCTTGCCGCAAGTTCGAGTCGTGAAGATATTCAGGATGATAATCAGGATTTTAATGCCAGTTCATTGGATCCACGTAATGAACCAAGTGAAGTTCGATCGGAGTGTGCAAGAAGGGCCCTTGAGCATTGTTTACAGGTGAACATTTTTTCCAACAGGCTCGTAATCATCGGTGCAGGCTTCCGATTTTAGTCATTGACTACCATGGAAGGGCTGGATTTGCACTCGAAGCGAAGGTGTCGCTTAAGAACAGATGCTGCTGACAACGTAGATGCTACGGAAAATATCTTTCGTGAGCCCATCCCTCTTTTCAGAGGATTTAGAAAACTTTTCTTCGCTAAAACGAGGTGAAACGAAAATTATTAAAATGTATTTAGACACGGATGTTGAGGCCTCTTTTCATCTGTTCCGCAGCTCATTACTTGTTCGAACGGCGTCCGCTTATCTTCATTTAGTTCATGAAACTGTTAACTTGAGTCACTTCGATAAGAGCTACATTCTTTCGCGCTGTGGAATTACGCTCTCTAGTAAGTCCATTTTGCTCTAAAACTTCTTACTGTAGTGGTTGAAATAAATGAGGGAGTCAGATAATGAACTAATTTTCATTAGTTGTGTTCTATAATTTAGACCTCTCACTGCACATGCATTCTCTTTCCTCAATAACCTTACACTTGTAGCGTCTGAGTCATTGAAGATAAAGCATTATTATTTGTTATTTTTTCTAATTTAACCAAAGCTGGTGTCTTACATGGATTACAAATTTAGATAACGTTAACATGTGATTGGTGTGCGATTCATTTACAATTGCTTTTTAATACCGAGGTGTTTGTTGTCTTCTGTGTCATCCGCGTTCCTACTAGTCATCGAATAATTTAGGGAGAAATCAGTACACACCATTTATAAGCGTAATGAAACATAATTGCATAAGGCAAACGATAAACAGCGCAGTTTTGCTTTGAAGCCTTTTTTTAACCACACCATAGGAGAAAGTAACCACGGATGCTCTCCAGACATTGTGGTAGCATACAATTGCTACTAGCTGAAGTTGTAGATGGAAGTGTCGGGCCGTTAGGCATGGAAAGCCCTGCTGGAACATATATTCCAGTTGTACACCAAACTTCGACAACCAGAAACAACTCAACAGCGTTGAGGCGGTGATGCATTGGGAGGTTTTCTGCGTTACTGATTTGATCACTGTAGAGGAGCATTTGACATATAGGAAGTCGTCCTTTCGTTATATTGCTTTTTCTAATAACATGAGTAATAGCACACTTACATGACTAATGGCAAGAATTATGCTAGAAACTAATCAACACTTGAAGTGGAATTGTCAACGGGTTTAGTTGAACAGATCCCGCGCTTCCAGGAGGTACATTTAGGGTTCCAAATTGTAGCTGTTTCTTTTCAAAAGCAGCTCTTTCATAGCAAAAATGTTAATCAATAGAAGACAGTAGTCTTAAAATTTGCCTTGCAATTATGTTCTTCGTTGATTCTTAGAGCATTTATTTCCGCATATCTTAGACATCATGTGAGAATTAGCACGACTTTATGTTTACACGGTTGAGTAATCTTAGAATGATTTTATTTTGTGGTAGAGTTGTCTATGATAGTGATTTCGTTCCTGTTTGGCGCCGTCTACATTATTACAATTAATGCCACCTGTCACCATTTGCGGATTTTTAAATTTTTTACTTATACACTCCTATCTCTAATATTTCGGCTAACCTTGGACCAAGTTTCGACATAGTGCCACGCAGTAGGAAGAGCCGAACAACTTAAATAGATGGATCCAGAGTTCCAGATTCCGCACTTGGATGAAGGGTTTTTTTCACAGATTGTAGACCTCAAAGTATATCAGTTTTCGTTTTCCAGTCAAATCTCTGTATCATTGTCGACATTGACTGAGTGCTGCGTTTACGCATAGGATGAGAGTTCTCTGATTAAAGTCTATTTATTGCTGACGTTTCTTCCACATTAAATTTGCCTTGGCCATTTATGATTAGTTTCTTTTAACTCAGACCTTGAAATCTTAAGAACTCCAGTTATCTCATTCATTAATGTTGCTCATTTTTGTAGGTATCGTGCTATCCACAAATCCCCAGCCACAGCACGAATTTGTGTGTTATTCTCTCTTGACTAACTTCCTATCTACTTTCATTTACAGTGCAGGCAAACAAGTTCAGGAAACAACCGATACTTTAAAGGCTAGGCTTTTTAATGCATAATACATGTGCTTCCGAAAATGAGAACTTATTTTGACTTCGTGCTACTATAGGTTGCACCTCTGTCATGTCGTGATAGCCGCATCCTCGAATTGGCCGCTAAAGACGTTGAAATAGAAGGTAACGTGATTTTCCTTCATTAAGATCAGTAGTAGATGATTGTTGGTATTTGAGTACTGTTATGTCGAAATTGAATGGGTCTGCATTATCGGATTTTTTGACCAAGAAATCGCTAGAAAGTCTAATAACAAAAATGACACAGTGACAATTCTAGCATCACTTAATGAATGAACCTAGCTCTTTTAGGCAAATTTGACTGTTCCACCTTTTGGTTCGGCGGAAATGACTGTGAAGCAAAGAGAGCACTATGGATGAGACGGATTGAAGCTGCAATTGAGAGGTTACTTGATTAAATTGTAAATGCCTTTCTTCTTTGCCTTCCGGCCTGTTTTTTTGAGTGTTTCGTGTGTTTGAACATTCACGTGATAAACACAAAATAATATTGTAACTTGATTCCTATATTTCCAGGTTTTGCCTCCTACTTAGAGAGTATCCAACTCCACATCATAGCGCCTCTTTCCCACCTACGATAGCGCTTATCACACCTGCGGTAGTAGCTTATCGTGTAGCAGTAACGGCTATGAGCTTGGCTGGAATCCTGCTTCTTATCTCCCGTGGAGAATTAGGAACTGTGAATGGTTCAGAAGGTTAGGAGATGATTAATGCCAATTTGACTTTTAAAAAACATCGTACGATAATTCTTTGAACATTAGCCGATGACTTAGCCAATCAACTATTAGATGTAGTTCGATGCAATACGATAGTTACGGTAATGAAATACTAGTAAATGGATATCGTTGCGTCTTTATTATTTTTTATTCAAAAGAGAATAGAAGGGAATAGGATGTGCTTTACATAAATGCATACACTGACACTTATGACATTCGATCATTTCAAAAAACAGAGATCCACGAATTTGACTTTATTTCATTTGTATAGAAAAGTTGATTGAGAACTTAATTCGTTGCTTCTGTATTTGGCTTAGGCTGTGCATTTCAATCGTTCTTAAAAATCTCTTTGAGCGGTAGTGAATTAAGATGACGACGAAAATCCTGACACACAAATTCAGCGTGCGATTGATTTAGTCCAGAAAGCTAGGAGCCTGTACAGAGTGGTGAGTGGTTTTTGTTTGAAAATTTTTATGAGTTATCCTTTCCGTAAATGAGTAATCAATTAATTACATGAATGTGATGAGAAGTGTTCTTGAAAAAATATAGCACGTTAAGATTAAACTTCAAAAGTTATCAGCACACATTGTTGAAGATAAACATTACCAGATTAAGTGAAGGTGTTTTATACACTTTGATGTGCCGCAATGGTGATCCGTGTAGAAGAGCTGAGGTTATGTTTTAGCCCGGATGACGATGCCGAATCGATTAGCGTAAAGGCTTCCACTCATTACAGAAGCACTCATTTTACAAATTCAGAATGGAGTGCTTCAATTTAGATATGAAATTGTGGTTAGAGCGATTTAACTTGACGCTGAAATGCGTCTGTGGTACAATAGCAAGAAAGTATTTTTGAACATCCATTTACAGCTCTTTGCTGGAGTTTATTTCTACAGAACCACTCTAATTGACAAAAACTTTATTGAGCACCAGAAACATGATTAGTAGCAAATCTAATGCTTTCTTCCACGGGCTTCTGTGCTATTGTACTTCACTAATCGTATCACATGAGGTTCTCGCACATCGTTACTACAATATCCCAACTGTTTTTCAGAATGCTAGTCGCCAACTTAACCTCAACAGCGATAACGGTCTTTCTAATCGAGTAATAAAAGTAGAATACGTTTTAGGTTTTTTTCACTGCTTATTCTTTTTTCGTGGCAAGGTACAATGTGAATTATAACCACAATGGTGCAGAGGTATGAGCAAAACTAGAAAAATAAGGACAGCGAAACCTCAACCGATGTTTTGGGTTTTGCTCATAGAAGTGTTAAATACGAAAAGTACTAAATTTTGCTAAGTGAGCAACCGGTTGAAAATAAAAGTCAACAATGAGACGAGACAAATATCAGAATGAGTCAGTGCAAAATGGCTAGATGCATACCAAAAGTTCTAACGAACTTCGATGCTTAAGTAAGGAGACCTCAAAGCAAGTTGTTAAATATCTCAACATTATTGCTAAAATAAACGGATAATTCAATGGTTGTTTCGACGAACGCGGACGTCAAATCCATCATTACGAATTTCGACAGTTCCCTTATGGACTTACTGTCCAGTAGAAGTTTCTTGCATTTGTGATTGGAAGGTTACTTAGATATATCACGTGATTAGCCAAGGGCTCAACATAGGAATATGAATAGCATGAGAAATCGCATTCATAGAGAAATTTTAATGCTGGTGTTAAGTTAGCGATTTTTTGATTAATTGCCTTTCAGTCACTTGACGTCTTGGATTTATCCAATGGTGATGAACGCGAATATGAAGTGTCCATTCGAATAAGCACTGTCACGGCATTAAAACTTCAATATACCATAAATGTAAAAATACATAACATGGCAGCAACAGATAAAGTTAATTGTGATCTCGTTGATGAGGTTAGTGATGATATCAAAACACCTTGAGCGATTTTGCCACTTCACTAGCAGCACATTTCCGTTTCTGAAGTATCATATTTTAGGTGTGTGAGCTGTATACAAAAATTTTCTCTCTTTTGGATGAAGGTTGTGTACCGGAAAATGACGGCAGCATCTATGTGAATACTTTGTACGAGTTCGGTAGTGCACTATTCATTTTCTCCGACCATTTAAAGGATGAAACCAGTCTCGAGTGGCAGGTGTTGTATTTTTGATCATTTATCATTTTATTTGTTACTAGCACCTTTTACCTTTTTCTGTTACTTTAACAATGGTTATCATTCAGGATAAGCGCATTTATTACCTCGAGGCTGCTATTAGAGCCCTTCAAGGTGCCTACAAAAGGAAGGAAATCAAATGTCAGCGGGGTAATGCATGCAAGAAGCTGTGTGAAGCGTACTATGTTTTGTTAGCGCTTAAGTCTCGGAAAATAAACACTAGGCCGGTGAGTGAGTTGTTAAGCTCTAAAGGTTTTTAAAGGTGAATGGTTTTTCTTCCAGCTAGTACTCTGAGAAAAATGAATGCTGTGATGAAAGATGAATCGTTCAGGAACTATCGTCTCTAAGAGCACAAAAGGCTGCTTTTAAAGAATTGGCTGAAATTGCTCTAACAGCACAAAATTATGTAATTGATATGTCTGACGAAGACCTCGGTTCTGAGTTTAAGGAGGTTCCGCTCAATCTCAGCGAAGCAGCCATATTGATGGTTCCTATGAGGCAAAGTATGTTTACCTTTTCTTTTGTTCCATTTTTTTCGTAAAATTTCAGCCGTAGTCCTTCATTTTTCTAGAACGAACATAATGTGTTTTAGTAAGCGACTCCATAAGGATTCGGCTTTGTACGCAAATGTTACAATGGTGCCTGCGGCTGACAAGGAATATCCGAAACTTCGAGTCCGACGCATCAAAAGCAATGGAGCACTATGGGAAGATTTTGGAGCGGGTCCAGTGCTTGTTGAGGACTATGAATTTGGTAAATAAACTAGCAATAGTTATATATTTCTCTTTAATTAACCTTTCTAATCATAGAAGAATTTGGTGACCACAAACGACTCATCATCACATAAGAGCACATTTTATGGCACCGGAATATTTCTCAAAAGACCAATAATGTTTGATGATTCTTAAATTATTCCTTTCAGTATTGTACTATGTTTTTGAGACAGTACTAATTATAGCGCTAAATTACAAATGTATTAAAGTGAACCAAAACAGATGAAAACCACTGGAGAATTAGTCGTTTTGGTATAATTTCAGTTTCATATGTTTCGTGATTGATAATTTTATTCGATCATATATCCCTGAATGGTTCTTTAAGATACTATCGTGATTTCTTCACATGGACATCACTTTCTGTTTTTACTAGTTCGGAGCTGTTTTTCCTCCTCTCCTCTGATTTTTTTGAACAGTTCTTTCAGTGCTTCTTTCGTTTCAGGAATGGCGCAATAATCCGTCGATGAAAAGTGCATATTCGCACGTTTTATTCGTGCTGCCCAATAACCCTGAAGAAGCGCGTGATGTGATGATGAAATCAATCGAGAAAGCCCTTAGGGCATTTGATAAAACCCGTTGACTTTCTCTGTAGACAAGTTAGAGTTAGTGACAGTAGTGAGTTACTCACCTCATGAACGCTCACTGGTTTTGTGATCTTCCTTACTTAATCTACTTTCTGCCGTTATTTGATGATTATGTAGTGCTGTTATGGTTCATGCAAAAAAGCCTGGTTTTTGCGATTTTTCTTTATTGAATAAAGTTGTTCGTGAAAACCTAAGTATTCAAATCCTGCCAAATAAAAAGGCACGTTAAAAAGATTAGGATACATTTTGTTTCCTTCAGAAACAGTTGCGTGTAGTCCAGAGCATTCTGCTTGCTCTAGGGACTCCTCTATCATCACATCTTTTCTTTAAGGTCTTTCTGAAAAATTTTGGTCATTGCGTCGGTGGTCTTTCCACCTATGCGTATCACATGTTGAGGAATCTAATCACTAGCACCTCTTGTCGTTCGGTTGTCGTTCGTATTCTATACGAATTATCATCGAACTACTCATGGCGAATAAACCCTTTCTGAAAATGTTGTATCTCGCAGTCATCTTAAAAAATCGACTAGTGCGCTGTCATTGCTGCGCTATATTTATTTATACTTTATGTATGCAACTAGACTTGTTCATACACAAGTGCGGCGTTGTGTTTATGGATACTTGGGGTGTATCCAGCACATCAGTTTACAGAGGACTTGCAAACAAGTGGCTAGGAAGTGAACAGAGAGCGTTTAATAGTCGTCTTCAATAAATCAGGCACTAACAATGACAGCGTCCTGAGAGTTTTCAGTAACTACGCTGTTCCCAAAAGGATTCGAAGCAAATTACGTCGTAAGAAATGTATGTAATCGGAGATAAACGAGGTGCTCTGCTAAGGACAAGTAGAACCTAAAACAACCTTCGTTAATAATTCATATACGTTACTTCAACTTAGACATTCGACAGAAGCTAACAAAGATAAAGCAAAAATCACCTTTAAGGCACATATTCTGATATTTGCAACCATGAACACCTCATCACATAAATGGGAGGTGATTCAGAAAATGTGAAAACAAAAGTTTTGCAGGTTATTGAGAATAGTTTACAATCCACTGGAAATTAAAAGTAAGAGGTCACTATGGTATTCTTGTGTTTTAATTGCTCTTTTCCGAGCCAACCAATCCTCCAGTCCTATCAACCCCTAGGGTTGGAAAATCAGTACCGGACTTGCGCTGAGAAAAAAATCTTTCCCTGCAATCCAATTAGGAACGCTCCAGCCAGGCTATCTGAGGACTCTAGGGAGAATCTTCCGACCAGCTTTTTTGACATTCAAGATGAAATGAAGTCCTGAGACAGTAGCCGAGGCCACACGTTAAAGTTGGAAGATCTTCGTGGATAATGAATGCGAGGAAACGAATCGAATGAGAGAAGCGCAGGGATCCGCAGTAGACGTGAAGACGGTTCAAATAAAATGAATTAATTCTTCGTATTTTTGTTGAGCAAACGCGAGGTGTTATTGTTCTTTATTCACGAATAAGCTGACGTTTCGGCGGATTTCGCCTTCCTCAGAGCCTGGAAAGGTCAAGTTGACAGCAATCTACTCGGCCAGACGCCTCCATAACGAAACAAAGAAACTCTAGACCAAAATTTCAATCACTTGAACACAGCTTTGCACACTCACCGCTTTCTATGAGGTTTCCACTAAGTATGTCACGTAGAGACCAACCGCACAGAAATCAAGTGGAAGTATAATGTGCCCCTCCTGTTAGAAAAGCAGTTTATATACTGCCCTATATCACGCGTGATAATGAGGCATTCTTCCCTGCGGTTCATTTTCGGATTTCTGGAATTAATCCAAAATGAATTGAAACAAAAATGTAAATGGTATCTATCCAATAATGTGTTTAAAATCCCAACTTAACATTAACAACTAATCAAATGCTTGTAACAAACTTATAGCAACGAAAAATGTCTATTGCAGTTTAACTGAGGCTATAAATCTAAATATATTACAAGGAAAGAGTTCTTATAAGGAAAAAAAACCGACACCGCCGTTTCGTACTTTTTCGGGCTTTGATTACTTTTTTACATCGATGGAAAACGTTCTTAAAATGCTTCCTGAGGTTATATTTAAAAAATCAATGTACTGGAGCTCTATATGAAAGCTGGGAGCATCCTATACCTATCTAGCATTCTATCTCCAAGTATTTCAACATTCGTACTAGTTATTTTTTTTTAGAACAAACTGTGAATTAAATCACTGTTCTATCAAAGCAGTGGTTTCGCAAATTTTTCGTTATGTTTAAACCGTCGAATGCTGCCCCCAATTACTGTAACATCATCAAGATAATCTTCGGAAACATTTTGACAGGTCACAGTACAAAGTCGAGAAAACTCTCTCTTGATTTTAAAATTATGTGGTACTAAGTGTCTTGTCTTAGCTACCGTACTGCTACGCTCTATTGGCAGCAGTATTTCTTCTTGCTGGTTCGTTCTTACACTCATCGCACTACTGCTTTTCATTTTCGCTTTTCGAGAATATAATGATGCGCAAATGGAAGGTTGGCGAAGAATTGTTTGCCACAAATCAGTGTTTCGTTCACAGTTGTTTTCGTCGAGTGTGAGAACAAATTCTTGTTTTGTGTTCATTTGTGTCATGGAGGAGTAAACTGGTGTATTCTCTAATACTATTGTTGTTTTACATTTCTTTACATAACTGATGGAAAAAATATGATAAGTAAACCATGAGCGCTTTGTAGCAATATCACAGTTTCAGGAATGGAGAGAATTGGGTAACGTTTTTGCCCCTTTAGACATGTTGCTGCTGCATTTAGGTATGTGAAAGACCATTTTTTTCTGAAGATGGTTGCTTTTGTGACTGTTGTGCAGGATGCGAGGTTAATATCGTGCGTATCCAACGTGTGAGTTTTCCGTAAATAAAGGTGCTAAATACATTGGATAACGAGAAGAAACTCAGTGAAGGATTGTGGAGACGAAGGCGGTCACCATGGATTGGTCCTAATAAGTTGCAGTGCTTTGAACTTAAATTTCCGTCGGTAGTAATTATTACTGGTTGCCGAATAGGAAGCGAGAGTACTTCCGCGCGTTCCTAAATATTGGTGTGCACGCTTTCTCTTTCATTCAAATCCGGGTCGATTCCTGGATTCTAGGTGCAGTGCATTGTTAAAGTGTGAGCTCGATTTCCAGTAAATAAGTGTTTAGCAGCGAACTAGTTTGATTAACCTGACTAAGTATTTTTCTGTGTTTGCATGGCATGATGAAGGCAGAAAAGCAAATCTCGCTAAATATTTAGGAATTAGAGTAACCTTCGTACTTATTTTCTTGAATAACGCGCTTATTTTTTCATTAATCGATTAATTAATCCTTGTCTATGGTCCACAGACATCGATGGACCATCGACAGGGGTCGTCAGCTCTGTTGAAGAAGCGGACGTCGAAACGTTAGCCGGATGAACACCTCCATCAACCTCGCGTAAGCTCAACAGTATAAACACACGCTGATTACAATGTTATACCTTTTTATTTTCTGCCTGCTATAATTTCGCGGCAGAGTACTAAGCGAAATACAACCACAATGTTGCTGAGATATTTGCAAAACTCTGGACAGCAGATGTCTATGGTGGGGAACGAACGCTCTATTGTCCTTTCCGGGGAGTAACGCGTTCATCACCACACCATGCGGGTCCTTCGTTTCGCCTGTCTCTCAGCCGTTTCTATCGATCTTTGCCACAGCAATCACCCGTTAGTGGGATTGACCCGTTTCATGCTGATTATTTTACTACAGAGGTTTAATGACGGTCGCTTTCAAAACTGTTGAACATTCATAGGTAGAAAAGAATACCAGCTCGCAGTGTTTTTTTTTAAAACCTGAGTTTTCAGAGTATTTGTGTTGCCAGAAACAAGTGGTGGTTGAAAAGGACAGAACACTATTCAGATTGATTTCTGAATAGCCAGGCTAGAAGAGGCTAAGCCAAACAATTTGTCTAAACTCTTCCTATGGCACATTTTCTTTTCTCAACACTGAAATCTGGACGCATATAGCTCAGTAAGAGCTGGGTATTGCCAATATTCGAAATAAAAAAGGTTTGCAACGTAAACACTTTTGAAAGCTTAGAGAGTCTTCTCTATAGAACGCAGGTTTTTTTCGACGCCCTCGAGACAAATTACAGATGTATTTTCTCACACCAGCTGCAAAATGTTTCAGTCTTAAACATATGGTGTAATTGCCTATGCAACATTCATAATTTGACCTCTAAACGGTTCTTACTCGTACTCACTACGATTTATTTGGTAACACTCAGCTCTGTCTATTGTGCTGGTTAGCTAGTGCTTCAATTACTCAAGTTAGAGGTTCGATGCGGCCACATCACAAGAGGCAATTATTTTACAATAAACTGATTGCCGAAGAGTTGCTATGTCAATTCAACGAGCACACTTCGCTTAGCAAACTACTATAGGAAGAAAGATACAAGTTTTCCAATAACTTCATAGCAAAACCCTTGCCTTTTGAAGCCCAACAATCTCGTAAAGGCATTCCTAGTATCTGATTAGCTGTTGAACACATTCTCAGCGAGAAAATAAAGCGCCTGAAAAAGTTCTAGTCGGCTGAGAAGTAGAGAGAATAGGTAGATATGTACGAAAACGCCGAATTTCATCTCGCTATTCTCATGACCCCTGTAGTATTCTTGATGTGATGGAACCCCTCCTCCCAATAGAGCAGTGTTGCACGAAAATTTTGAACATCACAGTGCATTTCGCCAATTGCTTATCAACACTTATCTGGAGAATAGAGGAATTTTCGTCTTTGGTTGCGTCTGCTGATTTTGGAAAGTCAAATAAAACTTTATGCCGGTACAACTTTATTCTCTAAGTGTTGGATTCTTACCTCTGTCTAATTTGGCACGGACAGTCGGCTGCTTGTATCGAATAAATTATCGTTACGTAGCAATTCCCAAGACCGACTTCCTGTTAACCTCGGCATTGATTGATAATTCGATATTTTTCTTAAATAAGCAGACACGAAGCTGTTATTATAGA